TAGAGGTTCTTGTGAACTTCCCTGTTTATTTGGGCTGCTTGGCGTCACATTCAAGGGGACAGTCTGGGTTTTAAAATAGACGGTGGTTTTAAATCAGATTAGTAGGTTGAGTTAGTTATCCTTTTTGTTTTTAGCAGTCTGTATTGTCCGTGAGCTACTTCCCCTGCTCCATGCCTCTGGTCAGCTGATCCTGAAGGTGCAACTCAAAGAAAGAAAGACAACAGAGCCTTTAGTGTTGCCACTCAATGATTATGGAATAATCACCCTTACATTATTATACATGCTCCTCGCATTTCCACTCCTTGGCTTTTGGAACAGCCTGAGACTTTTTTTTTTTACTCTGTCTTTATTGCTTTATTGCCTTGACTGATGTTTAAATGGATTCATTTTACTGCTTTTTCATTATCATTTTTTTAACGTGTCCTGATTTTAACATGTGAAGCACTTTGCTGCAGCTACGTTTGTTTTAAAGTCCTTTATAGATAAAGCAACAAAAATAATATCAAATCTGTAGTCATATGTTATGTGACGCCAGTATAGGGGTGTTAATCCATTAGCTGGTCTTACTTCCAGATTTACTTTGTTTTGGTTGCTTTACTGTGAATATCAGTTATCAACTTGTCTTCACATAACCAGGTTTCAATGAGGGGGTCAGTGTGCCATTATGACCACATCTTTAGTATTTCTAACAGCCTGCAAACATCAGTTCATCTTAACAGTTTTTTTCCGCTGGCTAATACAACTCAGAAGTCTGATAGCCTTTAAGCTAGCATGCCAGTTGTTGAACAACTAAAAGTCTATTGTTGGTATTGCCGTCTAAAGTGCCATGCCAGCATGCCTTTTCATTTAAATGCCAAGCTTTGACATGTAATAAACACAGCAAACAAAGGCCTTCTCATTCCTCAATGAGGCTGCATCGACAAACCTGTTTTCAGAACAATGTTTTGAAAATAATTTAGCTATAAAAAAAAAAGTACCGTTTTTTTTTTTTTTTTTTTTAAAGGATGGCTTTACCATAGTTTTGCACCTGCAGCATAAACTCGAGACATCACTGCCACCGTTTGAGTTCACCAAGCGGCCAGATGAGCAGCCTTTTTTTGCAGTAGTAGGGCAAAGCCCTCGCTATGCAGACAGTTATATAACCGCAGCTAAGAGGGCTTCCACTGCGGTGGGGGGGCGGCCTCTTGTCTCCCGTGATAGTTCTTAGCAGGGCATATCTATGAAGTGAACTGGAAACTGCTGAAGTCTGGGAACATGTCTCTAAGTGTCTCTAAGTGTCTAACAGACTATTTTGATATATAAGCTTAGTTTCATTACATCATCACAGTGCTGCTGATAGAGTAAAAACTGACACTTTGACCAAAGGTACGTTTTAAAAAAGAAATTAAAAAACGTGTAAGATTAATAATAATAATAATAATAATAATAATAATAATAATAATCTTATCTTTACTGCAGTAACACAGGCACAGAAATGAACTATTTTCAAAAACTCAGTCTTAAAAACTTCAATTTATGCATGTCTTGTTCTTTATGTTTATCTAAAAATGAACAGTGACAAATGATTCCTTCAAAATAAATGCAACAAATATATTTTTCTCGTTTATTCTTTAGGCCAAACGGAGGCTGTAGAAATATTTAATTGCTAAAACACAATTTTACTTTGCAACTCTTCAAAATTATCTTACAGATCCAAAAAGGCTACAAACAAATAGCTGCTCTGCTCATCTCAACTATATCTACAGTAAAAGATGTAACATTTGTTTAAAGTTTAGATGAGGACCAAGATTTACTTCAAATGAGATAGTAAGGGAGGTTTAAAAAAAAAAAAAAAAAACGTCTCCGAAGTTCACAGTTAGAGAACTGCAGCAAAATATGACATCTTAGGGGGTCACACATTTTATATAACAGCTTCTTATTTTAGGGCTTTTGCAGAATGATGTGTGAAATCAATTTACACTTTTCAGGAGAAAACTGCAATCAGCTCTCTGGTCTGACAGCATCGGGAGAAATAAAGATGAAAGATTGTTTCAGCACAGCCTGAAGCCAGATGTTAATAGTTTGAAAAGCTCCCAGAGAGAAGGCCTTTTCTGGGAACTTTTATGTAAAAGGTAAAAACTAAGCAAAGCCCTCAGTGTCATAAATATCAATAACGGATTGATTTGTTTAAAAAGCGGAGTGTGTTTCTAAAGAGGGGACTGGTTCATATCAGTCAGGCACAGAGAAATAACTCTGATCAACCTAATTTGCTGTTCTTGTAAGAAAGTGGATAATTAATTTCCAGTTGATTAATAAAAAGCCTTTTGTAAGCCACATGACGGAAAGTGCAAAGCAACAGGCATGGAAAAGGCAGCACTGGCCTGTTATAAAAGGGTGGAAAACTTTAAGAAGCAACAAAAGGAAAAAAAAAAATCTATAATGGTATCCAAGAGTGAAAAAAAAAAACATTTGATCAAGACGCCTCTGTTCCTCCAGCTGAAGACCTGGATACTGCTCAGTTACACTGGGATTCACTTGATCTGCACCAATTCTGTTTCATTCATTTGTCTAGTCAATCTCAAGACCCCATGCTTGTTGTCGTAGTGACCTCAAATTTGTAAATCGATGTTCAAAGCACTGCTTTAATCTGGTACTTTCAATCTATTTCATGTGAATCTCAGGCATTTAGTATTCATTCCTAAACCTTTTGTTTTATTTTCGAATACTAACAGCCTTTGCACCTAAAATTTCAGGCACCTCTGCAACTTCTGGAGGCTGGAGCCCCAGTAATAGGATCCTAAAACTAATCACACCTTAATCTTAAACTGAGAACAAGCTGGGTTAAACTTATTTGTACAGTACATCCTATATAATTTGCAGTTTACAGTTCAGGTTATTCAGCAAGGATTTAAGTTAATAAAACGAACCAAACGGGTCAAAATCTAAACAACTAAGTAATATAAAGGAAGACCACAATTTAGCATCTTTGAAGTTATGAAAACCCTCAAGCAAATACTGGGAAAATCGGAATGAGGAATTCAAGAAACAACCTTTAAAACCCTTCAGCTGGGACTAGTGTGAAAGTAAAGAACAGTTTCCAGGAAATCTTTTTAAAGGAAATACATTCAGATTATTCTTTAACTGCTTTGCCTTTTAATTTAGTTAGTGTATGCATACGCATAACGTTAAATAACCTTGCAGCTAGAACAATAAATAGTAAAAACATAAGTATGTACCTTTTTTTTTTTACTCAGCATGTTGATAAAAAAAAAGATGTAACCCTTCATGATATAAAAAGATCATCACAATAAGATCAATTAACTTTAGATTAATTCACAATTCGATAACTTGAATGATTCCTAATTAAAACAGCTGCAACTGCCAGTGGGCCATTCTATTTTTTTTTAAGAACTTGGTAATAATTTGACACTAAATTAAAATCATTTAACTTTCAGTCCCATATGGTCAAAAAATCGTCAATAAAAACAGAAAGGAAAAATAAACACTAAAACAAAATGTAACCCTTTTCTTACTATTGAGTTAAATGCTGCAGAACATGAAGTTGTTGCTCAGTTGTTTTAAATAAACAAAAAATTTTACTACCTAGGATTTTATTTTAGTAGCAAAACTCAAAGGATCCTGAGGTTTAAACCAACACAGCGCCACCCATTACTGTTACAAAGGTAACACTGTTTTAAATCTACAACTAGAAAAGGAAAAAAGGGAGTTTCTAAGCAAGCTGTTTTATGTAACACTAATTAGATCATCTTACTTAAATAAAAACCCACTGCTACTGTACATTTTTTCCATAAATTTTTTTTGTAACAACCCTCATAGGTTTCTTATAAAGCAGGATCAGCTGATGTCCTGCTGTAGCTTCTTTCTGCAGATTCCATTCGCAGATGTGTTGGATTTAAAATGCTGCAACTTGCATTTTAATTTGTTTACTCTCACCATCATACTACGGCTTCTAATAGATAAGTTTATTCCAGCTATGGAGAAGCTGTCCGTCACAAAAAGAAGAAATGCACAGTCAGACAGGTTGTGTCTTCAGGTTTCGACCGCACTATTGACTCTGTGCAACTGTCACGGTATCTGATGGATTAAAACTGTCTGTGTGCAAGATGTTATTTCCAGGTAAGGAAAAACAAAACAAACACACCCACTCATTCGAACACCTTGTAAGCAAAACCAAACCTGCAGGGATGCAAGAAGTAAATCCACCTGGAACTTCCTGCAACGAACTAAAGCTGCAGAAATGTTGCTGCATCTAAACGGGAGAACAACCCATGTTCGGCATTTTGACCAAAGAGGTTAAAATGGGAAACATCACAAAGATGAAGAGAAAAACCAACCAAGGTGTGGGATTGCATGCTAGGTGGCCGTCAGCTGAGGTAGCAAAACGTTTAGTTTGAGCATAAGTGGGAAAAACAACGGCACGTTGTGCATGCCGGCATCACATGCAGAAAATAAAGGAAAAAAACAAGGAGAGTGAGAAGGCTGCAAGTGGAGACATAGCTGCGTGTTACTAATCTGGTAAAAGGACGTCAATGTCCAACAACTTCAATCGCAGCTAGGGAAAAATTTATATATGCAGATTTCAGGTTTAATGTAGCAATATATACAAAAGGAAGGTTTATTTTATAGAGACTAATGGAAAAAAAATTGGAAAACAAATATCCCATCCATGCATAAAAACAAAAGCAAAATCTGCAGACCAGATAATTCACTTCTTTAAAGCATTGATGATCACGAGGAATTTAACATTCCCTCACTTTGACCTCAGCCAAAGGCTTCATGCTAGTTTGTTCTTTTTGTTTGTTTTTTTTTTCCTCAAACCCAGTGTAGGTAATATAATAACACGGACCACATACCAGCTTATTTCTTGCATAACTTCTCACTAAAGTAGTTTGGTGTGCTTGAAACAAAAACAGGTAGAAACGAAACAGCTGGAGTGGAGGTAATTGGCAACAGCCTGCACAGAGGGCGCTTATGGATAAAAGAGATTGATTTAAACTCACCTCTGATGACGTGCAGGCCGTCTGGTATTTATCTGCAATGAAAAGGCAAAAAAAGGAGGCTTATTCATGTTCAATCAATGAAAGGAGTTATTTATTGCGCCTTTAAGTGCTTGTAAGCCCCCACAAGGGAGACATATGCTTTGAATTATTCATGTTAGGGAAGACAGCTTTAGATTTATACCTTATACAGGGTTAAGAAACTTTAAATATTTATTAAATGTATAAGAAACCTGTTTCTTTATATTTGATACCCAGTGCAATAGCTATATAAATAAATGCACATCTATAAAATAACATAATAGTATGGATGCACTGTATATACCCCTATGCACCTTTTCTTCCTTTGGCACCTTCTTCTTAACAAGTAAATTTCTCCAGTGAGATCAATAAAGTCAATCTATCTATCAATCCAGGAAAAAGAAGCCTAACAGAGGTACATTACTGTAAAACAAGCAAGTTAATAAGTAATTGAGTTATCATGGTACCATAGTGGCTCTGAATTATCTAAGGCAGAGTGTGAACATCTAAAGCAGAATTTGAATCAATTTGATTTAGATAAATTCCCAAAAGGTAAAAATAATTCTTTTTTAAAAGCAAACTCCCATCTTAAACCAGAAAGCAGGTTGATCATTACCTATGCACTAATTTAAGGCACATTCATATGCACCAGTTTGTCAGCAAAGATAGAGATCTGACCAAAGTATGAGTACTACTACTGTAAGAGTGAACTCAGAGATTAAAGTGGAGTTAAATCACTGCAGACCTTGAACGCCAATCCAAAGTTAAATTGTAAATTACTGCACAGATATTACTTTTTTGGGGGGAATAATCATCCACTTTCATCACAATAAGAGGCGATTGCAAGCATTTATATTTCCTTCATGATCAACTGAAAAGCTGATTAAGTTACAAAATGAAGGGATATCCATACAAAGTAATAGTAGATGGGATTCTATAGAATGCTAATTTCATTGGAGGCAATTAATCCTGTTAACTGCACTTCAGATTAGGAAAGACAAGAGAATAAGTGGCATTTAAGTAAGCCAAATCTATGCTCCCTATAATAAAACAATAAATGGCTAAAAGGATATAGCAAATCCCCAATCATCCCTGTACAATGTCACAAAAATAAATGTGTAGTTTGTTTTAAGCTTAACTGAAACCGCATGCTTTGAGCGGACAAATCTCAGATTAAACATTTTGAGGAAACTTGCTCTCCAGTGTGCTTGGCATTTAGCAAAGCCTCAAGATTCACTCTTCATTCTTAAGTATGGTGAAGGTTCTGTAATGCTGTGGGTCTGTTTCTCCTCCAATGCTCCTTTACGACAAAATTAATGACCTTCTGTTATCTTCAAGACATTACATATAGATAGTTTATATAATTCTGTTTTTTTTATAAGTATTGTGTGGTAAATAAATCAGAACCAAATGGACATACAGGTTTTTTTTTACCATGATGTGGAGAGCTATTCTAAAATTGACATTTGTCCTGTTGGCGATATGTCCTTTGACCTTCTAGGTTGGCAGTCATGACTCTGTGTTCAATCAGTATTTATTGCATATTGTTCTATTTGTTATAAACCAATGTAGCGGACACAGCAGACATATGAAAAGGCCAAAATGTTTCTACAAGCTCTACTTGTGAAATTTATCTGAAACTGCATATCATCATCAATAATCTCCTATACGAAACACAGCAGTGGCAGTATCATATCGTGGGAACGTCCTATCAGTTAATTGCATGTTTAGGAATCTATAATAATCCAGTTAACAATCATTTGATTAATATATTTAAAGATATTTTAGCAACTGGTTAATCACTGTTAATCTAATTTATCATTTCCACTCCAGCTTTATTTATACAAAGTAGCATTTTTCAAATAGGCAGGTTTGCACATGTAAGTACTGCTCTAATGCATTAAAAAGATACCCTAAAATGTATTTAGTATGTGATAATATGTAGAAAAAAAAAGTAAAAAAAAAATAGCAAAAAAAACAGCAAAACAAAACAAAAAAAAAAAAAAAAGAAAAATCCATTAGGCAAAGGGTCGGTTATTTGGGAAATTTACCAAATTCTATCAGTGATTCATGTGTATGTTGGAAAAGCACTGAGTTTCTGATGAACTGAAGCCTTTTTCTACTCGCTACCAGAGACTTAATAGATCTCACATCCCTCCCATCACCAGGCCTAATAAGAGTCAGTACAAGGCCCAAGCTGACCCAACAGGACAAAGAGCCTAAAAAAGACTCTCCATAAAACTTCAAATTCAATGTACTAAAAGCTCAGCAGCCTGTGCTTCCAGTCTTCCCTTTTAGTTCTGGGAATCAGCTCACTCTGCAGGAATCACTGCTGAACACAGCAGGGCAAAAAGCTGAACTGAAGCAGGAAAACAGAAACAGGAGGGATGCAACAAAGATGTGGGGAGAAAAGAAGTTGACATGTGTCTAATGAGAGACAAGAAGCTAAGCGCCTAAGCTGTGTTGACAAACAAGTTTCTTCTCCCACACCCATTGCTTTATTGCTCACATATGCATGGAATGCAGTGAGAATACCAAAAAGGTTTGACGCATTGTGCACACCTCTAACACACCCCTGAAAAGGGAATCGACAGCATTGCATTACTGTACAGAGCAGTTTCAACTCATAAATAACCAAGCCAAATAAAAGAAAATGACATCAATCCTACCTTAATCATTTTCCACGTTAAAATTCCAAACCAGTGGAATTTACTCAATTAAATTATCTGAGACCAACTGAACTATCATTAAAAATATAAACTAATATTAGGTTCTGCATTCATTTTCATACAAAACATGACCCAGATTCACATACAACCAGTTTAGTTTTGATCCGTAAAAAAAGAAGACAATTTTAACTTTTAGGGAATAATTGTTATTTATATCATATTTCCTCCTTATTTTAATTACTTATTTTATGGCAGCTCATGGTCTTTTTAATATCTGTACCACTATTCTATCATTATTTTGGAAAGTGTAGTTAATTTTAAGGTATACTGGTGTCTGCTCATCAACTTTTTATTAAAATCTCTGCAAACTAAAGATTTCTGACAGGTTTACCTTTCAGAATGGATTAGAATAGAATAGAATAGAATAGAATAGAATAGAATAGAATAGAATAGAATAGAATAGAATAGAATATCCCTTTGTCCCACAATGGGGAAATTCTGGTGTTACAGCAGCAAAAAGATTATATTTTTATTTCTTTGCTTTGTTTTTTCCTTTGGAATCGCCTCCTTTTTATATTATTAGGCTAATTCCTGCAGAGTTCACTAAACAGAAACTAAATGGTTTATTGAATGATTATGTACCAGATTCAAATGGAAATTGAATTTCATCAAGGACTTTGTTTCATGATGACATCAAATGTTTTCCAATCAACAAGCTTTAGCTTCCTATAAAGAGCCCAATTACTTAATAAAGCCTATTTACTCTTTAAATAAAAGTTCTTTCACCCCACCTGACCCATTCTCCAGATTAAACCTGTACATTTACTTTTTCAACATCACTAAAAATCCTGTTGGCAGCTTTGTGACTAATCTGTCCCTGGCTACTTGCCAGTTTCTCCCTAGTTGCAGTAGAAAAATGGTCAAAAACCAGCTGCTCTGACATATTTAAATCCGTCACGTGGTTTAGTATTTACTGAAGCTAACTGACCACTCTGGGATCCAAGCAGCCATTCATTCTCCAGCAGCCTGCATTAGGCTCCACTCATATGATTGCGTAAACATCACACGTTGTTGTGAGAATATTACTGATAAAATGTCACAAAAAATTATTAATCGGGATCTTAAATTTAATATGCATTGATGTGTGATCTATATTGACCACATGTCTGGAAGCAAACAACCACAACAATATGGCCTCTTTGTAGGGATGCTGCGTTCATTGGGCACACTGAGGTGGATGTGGAGGTTAGCGTGTAGTTTATTCCCGATAAACTGTCTGTTTTGCTTTAGTTACCTGTGCTGTCTTCAAAGTGCAGCCTGACAGCTCCGTCTCTCCCGATCCTCACATTCCCAGGTCCCTCGATCCTCCTCGGGTAGTCCACCGCAGAGGACCCCGCTGCCTTGGATGAGCTTCTCCGTCTGTGTTTGTGCGCTAAAGTCCGACAGCACTGGTAGCAGACTGCCCATGCCTGCTCCTCGTTTATCGGCTGGCTGTAAAGAGTAAGGATTTCTTCTAGGGACAGGTCCTCGGATCCGTCTCCGCAGTCCATGCTCAAGTCTCCGCGGTTCAAATTCCGAAGAATGGTCGGCGAAGAAGAAGAAGAAGAAGACAACGTCCCCTCTTTAGCCCCGGATCGCTTTGCCATTATTAGATCATCGTTGACGTCCCGATAGGCAGAGGAAAATCCCGAAAATGTCGGTAAAGGTTTCAGAGATTCATGGTAACATGGTAGGATCTGAGCAGTGACTCAGAGATGTGAGGAGTGACAGTAGAACAGGCAGAGCAACGGCTCAGAGCGGCAGCTGCCCTGCTGGAGAATTCTTTCACATGGTCTTAGCGCCCGCCCTATTCACATTCATGAATATATATTATATATTATAAATATATATTTATTATATAAATATGTATAAAAATATTTTTTTTTCACAGCCACACAAAAAAAAAAAAAAAGATTACACAGATACAAAAATTATATCACAAAATTGTAAAAAAACTCACACTTTTCACAAAAATAACACCAATCTAAGAATTTTGGATCTTAATGTAGACGCCGGGCACCATGAAGGAAGAAATGTGGGAGCACTCAGCTTTTACTGACAAAGATGTGAGTTGTTTGGGAGGGCCAGTAACACATTAGTGGAAAATGACAAAATTAGGCAACTCATTACATGCCTGAGGGGTGCCTGGTGATGCTATTTCATTAATGGAAGAGCAGAAGTTCATTAAAACAAGAGAGCTATTCTATAAAACAGACATGGCTACAGCTTGATGGTAACATGTTTGTTAGCTGTCAGAATTCTGAGAAAAAAGTCAGAATTCTAACTTTTTTCCCATATTTATCTGAAATAATATTTAAAAATCAGTTAACTTTGTTTATCATCTTCTGTGTATTAACCAACAGACCAATATGTGTTGTAAATTGCAACGGGAAAATAAAACAGGTAGGTGATGTAGATGTCAGAAATACTGCCCAGTTATGTTGAAAACCAAATTTATTTCTTCTAAATCGTATTCATTTAAATTATGCTAAAAAAAAAAAAAATCTGAAAACTATGTGTTTAGCTTTGTGACTTCTGAAAAAGTGACACAACTTTAATAGCCAGCACCAATTTAATGAAAACAAGAATGCAGAACACTGTGCTGTGTATTAAATTAATGACTTTGTTTTGAAAGACAAGTGTGACTGAGTCAAAAACTAAAACTCTTAAGTAGAACAAGGTATCATTTTCAAGTCTGGCTAAACTCATAAACAACAGATTGTCCTTTTTTACATTCAAACAGAGCTGAACAGACCAGCCTCCATTTGGTTCTTAAGCCTCCTGAAGCAATAGCCATTCAACATCGCCATCTGCTGATCATCAGTTTGGATACCCATTTACCGCATCATCGTAGACCTCCTGAGTTTATTTCATGAGTTCTGGTTATCTAAAATACTTTAATTTTACATGGCTTGCCAGTACGAGACAGATTTATACATGCAGATCAAAATGAACCCCAACACTGCAGTAAGACTGCATTGTCATAAATTATAACATTTACCACTGAACACAAAATAGAGACAAAAAAGAAAAACACATCTTGCAGAATAAATACAAGAAATTCAACAGTTCTGATAAAATCAAGAGGAATTGTAGGCACATGCAGGTGTGTGATTTTTTTCTTTTCTTGCAAAGGCTGGAAAAGACAGTCTTTAGCCTCCAAGCTTCAGACATTTCAATCTCAGCTTCTAAACAGCACTTTAGGGTTATAGTTTTTTTTTTTATATAAAAATCACTCACTTTACTGACTGATCTCAAACAACAAACTCTAACAACAAAAAATGAGTATATTTGCACAAAGAACTAAAGCAAATTCTTCAGGAAGCCCCGACACATGCACATTTGATGTGCAGATTGAGATTATCGTGTGCATATGGGGCAATCTCTCAATTGTGTAAAGATATATATTTTTTTTTAACTTAAATCTCTCTTAACACAGTGACACATTCCCTGACTGGTACTAACGAGTATGGAGGAAAAGCATGGCATTTGGTTCCCACTCTCTTCCTCACACATGCAACAATAATGCAGCATTTTGAGGTCTTTGGGTGGAAACATAAGCAGGCACCCTGTTAGGGGAGACGCCGCCTTCAGGGTCCAGAGCTGCGCAAAGCCACAAGCAAAGATCATCTGGACACTTTTGCAAGTTTTTTTTTTTTTTTTTTTGCAGCCCAGCCATTTAGCCTCTTCACAGTGTTGTAGCTTTTCTTTCATCTTTCATCGCAGGCGCTCTCCGGCTCAGGATCTCCATCAGCCTGGCTGTCCTTGGACAAGGCGCTAGCCTCCTTCGATGCTCTCCTTTTGGAGTCACGATTATTTTGCTGTGTAAAAGATTTTAAAATATCCCTTTGATTATCACATATTAGCACCGTAGATATTAGACAGTAAAATATGAATGTAAATCCTAATACAAACAAATTAAATACATACTAGATGCTTGAAATGTAATTCATTAAGGTAAGTTCCTTTAACATGAGAAAGCACTGTAAACTCTTGATCTTGCTGCAGTAACATGAGTTAAATTGGAATATATTAAGCTTGAATATGTATTATATCTACACCACCAGCAAACCTATAGGTAAATATGAGAAAGTGGCCTAAAGTATATATCAATTAGCAATTAGCATAATAGGCAAAATGACTGGTTATTAGTAATTCTGTTCAAATTTCATATGATATACTATTACAAAAAGTATATAATTGGCAAGTGGGAGGAAAAGCATATCTGGTTTTGAAATGCATGCAAAATTCTTAACACATGTGACAGGCATAAGTTTGTTAGCTAATTTTTGTATCAAATTCAAAGCAACAAACTGCCCTCATCTAATTAGTGTTAAAGCTGTTCTGTGCAGACCTAAGGGCGTTTTAAGAGAACAGAAGTGAGCAAAGAGCATCACTAAGACCAAAGAACGCAGCAGACCAGTTGAGGACAAAGTCGTGGAGAAGTTTATAGCAGAGGTAGGATTATACAGCAATATCCTAGCTTTTGTAGATCTTATAAAAACATGTCAGAGTACGGTGCAACTGTACATCCAACAAAACTATCTATTAAAACTGGACTGATGGTCTGGCCAGAAGAGACTACAATGTGTTCATTTTGGGAACTACAAAACATGGTAGTGGGAGATTCATGCTATGAGGAAACCTACTTCAACAGGGAAAGAGAAATTGGATGAATCGGATCGAAAGATATATAAAGGGTAAAAAAAAGTATTATCACCTGAGGAAAGATTCACCTTCATGCGGGACAATGAGTCAACAACCATTGTATTGCTTTGGAACTAAAGAGAACCACGATAAGAGCAACTACCTACAAGCTCAAAAAACATAAAAGAGCTGGAAAGTTTCTAGTAAAGGATGACTTACTAAAATTACTCCAACAGGCCATTGACTATTCATTCAGTACATAAAAATACCCAGAATGCCATCTTAAGCATTGTAGGCCACAATGGCTTCAGTTAAGGTGGGGGTTCATACAGAATAGTCAAAAATAGTATAGATGGAATTAATCCATCCTAAAAATTTCACATTTTTCCCCCCAAAGTCATGGTAATTCCAAAGGATTTGGGAAAAACATCCTGTGTATTGACAGACGAATGAGAGAGAACCTTTTAAAAGCTGCGCTGCTCATTATATTTGGTGCAATTTCAGAAAAAGAACATCTTACGTACAGTTATCTATGGTGGTGGTAGTGTTATGGTCTGGGACTGCTTTGTTAATTCGGGACCTGAGTGAACTGTAGTTTTTTAAAACAATAATTTTTTCTATCCAAACCCTTAGAAGAAGAAAAGCCTCACCAATTTTCTCATAAATAAAATCCTCATTTGAAAACTGTATATTGCTGCTATATAGCAAACTCAGCTTGCCAGATGTTAACGTTTTATTACAGATCTAAAACATTAAGAGGAAAAGAATAGCTCACATTGAAGAAATATTTAAGGGAGTTAAGTACTTTTTCACAGCACTGTACATCAGTTAATGAGCGCCTTGGTCTCCTCTGGTGGTTGGAGCCATTGGTAGTGATGGCCTGCTTCCCACATTGGGTTCCTGTGGTCACCATTCTCTTCTCCTTCATGCTGGAATCTACAGCTTTACCTTTAACAGAATAATATATATTAAAAAAAACAATAAATGATAAAAACATAGCCACTTGTCTGCTGGGAATAGTTTTTAACATTTTGAGTCTAAATCAAATTAGATGGGCTTTTAAGCAGGGGCGGAGCTAGATGGGGGGCCAGAGGTGGCCATGGCCACCTCTCCCATTTTTTTCGCCCTCTAATACGGACGGTGGAATCAGTAATACTATCAAGAGGAATGTTTAAACTTATTAAACATTTACATTTTTCATATATTAATAGTTACTTGACAAATAAAATGCTGTTAATTATGCACATTGAAATACTAACATTAAAGTTGATATATACAGAATTCATGCTCTTTTAATACCCTAATTTTGTGCTATATGGGGTAAAGGAAAAATTACGTGTCTCTGCAAGTCATCAGATAGTTTTAAATGAAATCATAGATAAATAATTACTTTAAAAATAACTTAAAAATCTATTTAATGTAGATATTAGTACATGTAATATCAATGATATGCAGAACAATTTTTGATAAATGTATAAGTAATGACAATGGAAAAGATGTTTGCCCCAGACATTTTGTCCACTATACCTTTTATTTAGACAGCATGGATGTTTAAATATATGCATCTATTTGTAATCAAAAGGCTGCAGGAAAGTATAGATTGTCTTTATTTTGAAAATATGGATGTTGTGCTCGTTCCTGTTGGAACAGTGTAGATGGAGGCTGAGGTTCTGGCGCTTATCCGCTTTGGGCCACCCCTCAGTTTGGCCCCTCAGACTGGCCACCCTTATTCAAATGTTCTGGCTACGCCTCTGCTTTTAAGAGGCACTTGGCCTGGAGATGTTAGAATCCATGTAAAACTTACTGTTTGCCACAGAGGCAGGGGTTTCTACGTCCGTGTTAGTGAGCCAGGTTGATTCCGTTTCTCTGGTCCAGCTCTCATGGTACCTCGGCTCGATGATCGCGTCCGCCCGACTCCCCCCACAACCCATCGAGAAAATCATCCACGGCAGGTGAGGCTGGCGCTGACAAGGATAAATGAGAAATAAAGATAAAATAAAAACAAAACAAAAAAAACGCTGCTTGGTTTGTGTCACAGAAGCGGCAGCATCCTTCACATTGGTTCAGTTCCTGTTTGTGTTTCCATCATCCTCCTCATCATCAGCTGCTGGTTGATGTCTCTCTCCACAGGCAGCTGACCAGCACCAATACACACAGATGTGTTGTGCGTCATCAGGAGAGGAGGGGGGGGTCACGCCGCGCAGACTAAGGGCGCTGATTGGCTCAGCTCGAGATGCTCCGGCGCGTCATCACCACGACGAGCGTCGTCATTAACATCATGCAAATAAATACAACTCCAGTCCGAATTTAATTTATTTGTTAATGTTCAGCAAAATATTAAAACAATGTAATAAAAAGAAGCTTAAGCCTAACTGTACCTGTTTTTATAATTTATATCCTTTTGATTTTATGACCTTATGGACAGACAAAATAGACCATAACTACGGAAGAGGATTAGGGCCACTGAAAAAGAAATGTACATTTTATTTCAGTATATGAGAAAAAAGTCAGAATTCTGACTTTATTCTCAGAATTCTGATTTTTTTTCTCATAATTCTTACTTTAATCTGAGAATTCTGACTTTAATCTCAGAATTCTGACTTTTTTCACAGAATTCTGACTTTAATCTCAAACAAAAGCCACAACATTGTGAAAATAAATAAACCACAATTTGTATTACATTGATCCCCCAACCCAGGAACCTATAACTACAAACTGAATGGGACTGTCAATATTTGCATAAGTTCTTCAGCTACGTATCCCATTCTTTTTGTTTCACATCACAGCAGATTTACATGGCGAACAGAACACAGAGAATTATAGGTTTATATTATATGTTTTATTAATTTCAACATTAATCTTCAATAGATGGTTTAATTTTAATCATACTAGTAGTACAGCTTTAGCACATATATTCATATTTATGTTCTTCAAGGAAATCAGTGGAGAATACAGTAAGCAAACATTGCCCATTTGTAAACTGATCAGTTTCATATTTATCACAAATCACATCAAAACACGGAATGGGGTGATTTAATTGCACATGTAAATAGGTAATACCCATATGGGACAAATAAACACAACACATGTAAAAAACAAAAAAACAAAAGTAAACACAACACAGATGCTTATTCAGAGGCATAAATAATTATTGTTTTTAACCACATTCTCATATCTCTCACGTGTACCTATATGTTCATTTCTCCTCTAACAAGATGCATTTTTTTTAGGGAAAAGGGGAATGTCACAAGTGCTCCTGAAAGTACAGTTAGAGAGACTGCTGACATACAACAAGAAAAAAAAAATTCAAATGTTGAGATGACCATTTTATATTCTTACGAGAAACACATACTTAGAAATGTACATGAAACTGTTGAAAATGAGAGCAAACAAAGATAAACAAACTGGAATGATAGAGCAAAAACTCAAATAAGTTAAAGCTTGTAAAAGTAACCATGTCACATCAAAACCTTACGACATATTAAGGTAATGGTCAAGTTTTCAGACTTTAAAATCCAGCAGATTGCAGTCGATCTTGTAGTAAACGTATGGGTAGTACTCCTGTTGGCTCAAATTCAGACCTGGGATGTCCATGGAAGCCTGGAGGGTAAAACCACATTTCAACTCAAAAGTCACTGTGCACTAACACCTTTTATCAGCCTGTAGAAGCTATAATGGCTGTTATACGAGTCATAATTTGTAATAACAGATAAACAGGTGGGTTAATTTCACCTATAATGCATTCCACTCAGCTTTTATTTCCTGGAGTACAAACGACGTCCTAATGCAGCCTTGTTATCTGTTCTACCATAAGAAACATGTTTTTGCTGGCCTGCATTATGCCGAGCATCGCTGCTCATATAATAATGACCTCAACCCTTTCATCAGATAAATAATTGCAGAAACTTACGTCAATGACTGCAGCACTGCTGTCCAGGTGTTTGTACAAGTCATACAGCACCTCTCTCAGTTTCTTCATGTTCTTCTTGTTGGGCTGAATCAGCATGGCCTGGAAGTTAACTGGCAGCCCATATCTAGAAAAACAAGCAGCTCACCAAATAACCGTGGACTTTTTTATTTCAAATGTAATGTTTTCCCCTAGTTTCATTTCAAAATATCATGGTATTTAATCTGAAAATATCTTGTAGAATCATGGACAGTTAATTAAACAAACAGAAGGAACAGCTGCTCTACAAAAAATGTTTATTGGTAAAGAAAATTAAAGTGTTGAAGACTGAATCTTAACTTGTAGAAATAAGAATATAAAATAAAAACTCATAATAGGAATTTTCATGTTTTTATCTTATATTTTTTTACATTCTAAATGCAATTCAGAAACTAGAAACCCTGATGCAACATTTTAATCAGCTCTCACCTCAATACTGACTCGACAAACACACGCAGAGCCTTAATGTGAATCCACGCAATGAAAGCCTCACTGAAATTCACCTTCAGCCATCGTACCAGAGGGCCCTGAATTTAAAGAAAGTTAGTTATAGCACATGTTTACACGTTACAGTACTATCCAGCTAAGAAAGTATAAAAAAGTATTTGGATAAATTCTACTGCTATTGCGATAAAATGGTCTCACAAAAAAAAAATATAACAATACAAAATCAAACCTCTAATTAAAGCAATACTATTCAGTGCAGGAAAAAATATAATATTTTACATCCTGACTGATCACAAATATCATATGTTCAGAATGGGAAATATAAGGGAACATACCATTTTTTTTTAAACCTACACAATTTAATTACTGAAAAATTCTGAAAATGTTGAGCGACCTTCTATTGAGTATTAATGCCTGCCTGTCTAATTTAAAAACCTCTGCTTAAAACTCATCTCTGCCTTTGCTTTTAGCACCACGTGATACAGCCTGTGATGTTAAGTTATTTGTTTTTTAAATCACCGATATTTGCAGTTTTTATTTTAATTTTGTTATGCATTTTATGCTTTTATTGTTGTTGTTTTCTATGCAAGTCCCCTGCGTCTCTGTATAGGTACGGTTATTCACTGTACAGCACTTTGGTCCTGGGGAAATTTCATAGTGCTTTATAAACAAAGTTGGATTAGACTGTTTACATTTGAATGATGGGTCAAGGAGTGTGTGTCGACTTTCAGAGGGAACACTTCAAAAGGACTGAAATATATGTATTTATTTAATAGATACATCATTTATTGTGTAATTATTACAAATTATAGATCATCATGGTTGATTGGGGATGGGTTCAGCAGCAAACTTAAAAGGCAATCAATCTATTGTTAATTATTATATTTGAGCAAAATTGAGCTGATTAGGTTGAATTTTAATATTTTAAAGCTTACCACCATTAATGCTGCCTTTATGGTTACAAAATCACGGTGGCCGGGAGGTGCAAACCAACATTACAAAATCTAAAACACTTTTCCTGAAATGATCATTTC